CATTGAAAGCGAAATGTTGAGGTTTCGAAACCGAATGTGTGTCCCAGATATTTTGGAACTAAAGAAAAGAGTTCTAGATGAAGCTCACAAGTCAGTGTTTGCTATGCATTCGGGCAATAACAAAATGTATCGGGATTTGAAACAAAGCTATTGGTGGCCTAAAATGAAGAAAGAAATTGCAGAGTATGTGTCCAAATGTCTTCAATGTCAGCAAGTTAAAGCTGAACATCAGAAACCGGGCGGTCTACTTCAAACTCTCCCTATTCCTGAATGGAAGTGGGAACACGTGACTATGGATTTTGTTGTTGGTCTACCTCGGACTCCTGGGGGTATGGATTCTATTTGGGTTGTAGTTGATAGACTGACTAAATCTGCACATTTTCTACCTGTTAGAACTACATTTGATGCTTATAGACTGGCTACTATATATGTTGATGAGATTGTTCGTTTACATGGAGTTCCAATATCTATTGTCTCGGATAGAGATCCGAAATTTGTGTCTAGATTGTGGAAAAGTTTGCAAAGGGCTATGGGGATAGAATTGAGGTTTAGTACCGCATTCTACCCACAGACAGATGGACAATCAGAACGGACAATACAGACTTTGGAAGATATGCTAAGGATGTGTGCCTTGGATTTTCAAGGGAGTTGGGAAGATTATTTGTCACTCGCAGAGTTTGCATACAATAACAGCTTCCACTCTAGCATCGGTATGGCACCATACGAGGCTTTGTATGGTAGAAGGTGTAGATCACCAATTTGTTGGACAAAAATCGGGGATAAAGCTTTTCTTGGGCCCGAAATTGTGCAAGATACTTTTGAGAAAGTCCGAATTGTTCAGCAAAGGCTTAAGACAGCACAAAGTCGACAAAAGAATTATGCGGATGTTCGAAGAAGACATCTTAAATATGAGGTCGGTGATCATGTGTTTATTCGTGTGACGCCGATGAAGGGCCAAGTAAAATTTAGAAAGAAAGGTAAATTGTTGCCCCGTTACATTGGGCCGTTCCAAATTCTGGAAAGGCTTGGTCCAGTTGCTTATCGAGTTGCTTTGCCACTGGGATTCGAGCAAATCCATAATGTGTTTCATGTGTCAATGTTGAGGGGTTATCTCCGAGATCCATTTCATGTGATTGATTATCACCGAATAGCTCTTGATGAAAGTATGGAATACGCAGAATGGCCGGAACGAATCATTGACCGGCAAGTGAAACGGTTGAGAAGCAAGTCCATCCTGATGGTGAAAGTGGAATGGAAAGAACACTATGGGACAGACGCTACATGGGAAAAAGAGGATGAAATGCGACTACGCTATCCACATTTGTTTTCCGACGAAGGTAGAATAAGTTTGGAGGACCAAACTTCCTAAAGGAGGGAAGACTGTGATAACCCTGGTCCGTATTATGCTAATTAATCTTAATTATGATTGTGATTATGTGTTTGATATGATTGTGAGTGCCATTTATATGAATATATGTGGTTTTGAATTTCTATCTGTTCACCGTAGGAAAATCTATTTGATTATCTGCTTTAGAATTTAAATTGAAGGCCCTATTGACCACAAAACCTGAAATTGATTACGCTTCGGTGATTAGCGTAATTTTTAGAGCCTACGGTGAAATTTAGTTGAAAATTGATTCGGATCAGATTAAATAGATTAAATTGATCAAATAGTGCTCAATTAATTAGTGTTAATGAAATGTGATTAAAGGAGCTTATATAAAGGGCCAATTTACACTCTCATACCTTTAGTTTTGAGCTCAAAATTAGGTTTTACACTCTAGAGGGGGAGAGGGTCGACTCTAGAGAAAGAAAGAGGGAGAATTACCCAATTTTGGCTCAAGGCTTGAGAATTGAAAGCTAAACTCAAGGATCTAGCCAGAATTTGGGTGTTTGAAGCTCCTAGGTGAGTAATTAAGAAAAGATTTATGAGCTTAAGTTTGTAGTTTTGTGAATTCAAGGTTTGATAGTGATCAAGACCATAAATTGAAATGAAATTGAAGGATTTAAAGCTTATATGTACATGCATGCATAGAATTGCTATGAATTTGTATGTTTGAACTTGGAATACATGATCCATGTTGAATTTTGATTGAAGTTCATGCTTTTGGTCATCTCTACATCATGTAAACTGAGAATGGGAGCTATATCTCACATGCATGTACAATTCATAAGAGTATGAGTTTTGGATACATGAATTTGTCATGTTGGAAATGAGTTTGGTGTAATTTGGGGCATGCATGTAATTAATTCATGAGATTTGAGCTTCATAATGTGATGAATTTGGTGTTGTATCATGTTAGTAAATGTGTATGTGAAGTTTGACTCGTAATATGCAAGATACATGGGTTTGAATGCAAGATTGAACTTCAAGCAGTTTATTGGAATTTCTAGAACTCGGCATGTCCGCTCGAGCGGGAAAAACGGCGCTCGAGCGTGAAATGTTGGTTCCCAGAACTTTTACAGACTTTGGTGTCCGCTCGAGCGGGGATATTCACGCTCGAGTGAGGAGCCATGTAGTGTGACATTCAGCTCGAGCGTCCGAATTCACGCCCGAGTGTAGAAATGAGGTAACCAGCATTTTTGCAGACTATCAGGGTTCGTTCGAGCGGCGGAACCACGCTCGAGCAGGGACCCCTGTTTCAGAAAATTTGTAAAGGTGTTCTGTGTTTCATTTTCCATTCTCTTTCGCTTCTAAGTACTCTTAGGCATGCATTGAGCATTATGAATGAATTAAAAGAATAAGAAAGAAGCATAAGAGGGATGTATGAATTAAGAACGGATTGAATTGATTGTGACCCACATGTGTTATGTAATGTGTAGGGTTGAGCTCCAGGGCAAATCCACCGGCAGAACACTGTGAGTAATATCTTAGTAAAGATGATTTGAAGTATGCTATTCGTCCTATTGCTTATTCCTTATGAGTCTCATAAGCTTGTTAATTTGAATTGTGGACAAATATTTGTTATGCCATATGGTTGGGCCAAAGGCCGTTGGATACAAATGACTGGGCCGAAGGCTGTTTGACATGAATGATTGGGCCGAAGGCCGTTTGACATGAATGATTGGGCCGAAGGCCGTTCGACATGAATGAACAAATAAGCCAAAGGCCGTTTGACATGAATGAATGGGCCAAAGGCCATTGAATACAATTGATTGGACCAAAGGCCATTTGACATACATGAATGATTGGGACAAAGGCCGTTGGACACGAATGGTTGGGCCAAAGGTCGTTGGATACAATTGATTGGGCCAAAGGCCGTTTGATATATATGAATGAATTGGGCTCGAGGCCATTTGTCAAAGAACGAAGTGGGCCAGAGGCCGTTTGATATGTTCGGGCTTGAATCGCCTAATGTACCAAAATAATGCACTAAATAGAATTCTATATGGGCCCCAGGCCGTTTGATATATGCGAATCTCAATTGCGTACCTTCTTTATTTGATATTATTCACTGGGCTTTCGCTCACGCTCATTCATGTGTATGTAGGTGAGCAAAGGGATGTCCAAACCCAGCCTCGGTGAATTATGTGAGAAACAGTCAAGGTTTTGAAGAGTCAGCCCAAATGTCTCACGCACGAGACTTGTGTTCGCCTCTTTTGCTCTTTTGATATAGTTTTGTTATATCGGCAAAAACATTGGATTACTTTTGTATATAAACTTTGGGTTTGATTGACTTAGATTTGAATGATCCTGTATGTGTAGAGCTTTGTGTCATTATCCCTTTGATGTGAGTTATTAGCAGGTATATATAGGGATTGTTATGACGTGCCATGTAAGCACAACTCTATGGACAAAAGTTTTAAATTTGCTTCCGTTTGGCCCCTTTACTCTAATGAGATATGTCTTGTTTGGTTTGAGGCCGTAGGTATTCTCTTGATTACTGACCGGTTATGTCCATAACCCATAGGGGCGGGTTCGGGTCATGACACTTGACAAGCTAGTGGCCGCAAAAAATCTGTTATAAGTTGAGCTTTACCTTTATATCTACTGATCTAGGAGTTGAAAAGGTTGAGTCCAGGACAAGGGAATACATTGCAAATAATGCTATAAAAGTAGCTTGCAACTCTGAAGATTCTCAAGTTTGGATGAACCATTATCGAAACGAATGTAATAATAAGCATATGTATTTTGTCGAAGAATGATTTTATTGGAGGGGAAATCTATGATGTGCACCCCTAAAAAGGGGCACATCAAAAAAAAGTTACGACTTTTTGTAGTGAAAGTTACGAATGTTTGTGGTGTGATGTCAATTTGAGATAAAAATTACTCTAAAGTGGAAGATATACTTTTTGTGGTAAGCAAAACGTTATACTTTTCGCGATGAGAAAAGTTATGTTGTTTTCTAGTTTATGTCACAAAATATGTGGGTTGTTATGAAGGGCATACCATATGCACCCTATTAGGGGTGCACATAGTAACGTCTCCCTTATTGGAGAACACTTCATAATTTGAATAAAATTTATAGGATATTGTTAAAGTTGAAAAATGGAAATGCGTGGACAAAATTTTGACAATATAGTACTTCTATTCTCTCTGTGTAAATGCACTGGTTTGAAGTATTCTTGTAGCTATAATGTATATGAACTTTAAGCATAAAACAAATCTGTACACAACTCCAAACACATGGTTGGAAGTGGATTTTGTTTTCCATTGTAGAGAAGTCAATTTTGACAGAGTCAGAAGGAAACAATAGTTATCCAGTTTTAAATAATTAAGGTTGTTGGGACTCAGGATCAAGAAAGAACAAAGGAAGATTTCATGCTAAAATATAGGAAACATCATGTTTTAATTGAAATTAAAATTTCTATTAAAAAATTTCTATGATATGAACAATATGTCATTCAGTTACAAGAATTAATTTTGATGCGTATTACCTGCATGGTTCAAGGCCAGATTCCTGAAGTCTAGGCTTAATATCTTCTATAGCATGGAGGAAGTGGTTCATCGTTACTTTGACATCCTTCCAGACATGCTTCACTAGTCCCCTCTCCCCTGCCTAGACCACAGCATATGAATGTGCACGAGTGACTAGAGATGCAATGGCAAATCCATTACAGCCATCCGTCCTGCAAGCTGTGCAAACAAGCACATACACAATCTCATTACATGAATGATGAATTGATATTTCCACTTACACAACAATATTGCTCAAACAACTTACCAATTTCTTGAAGATTCACATCTTCATCGAGTAAAAAAGCTTGTCTCATGTTCCTTGTGTTGATGTCCAAAATTTGCAAGTGCCCTCGCTCATCTGGGTACTCTAATTTGACATGTAGTTTGATTCTACCTTCCCTACAAGTAAATACAATAAACTAAATTTTTATTTTTTTATTGAGTTAGAAAAATGAGAAGTTAATGAATAGCTATTTTAATATACATATATATATATATATATATATGTATATTTGTTTGGTTACCCATAAAAGATAAATATGTATAAATACTTCATTTTTCTTTACTTGATAAATTCAAAATTTGAAAAACATTCGAGTTCAAAAGATGTGGGATATTGTTGAAAAAGAATAAAAAATTCAGCAAAGAACAACACAACGAAGAGAATGTTACCTCAGTAGGGCTTCATCGATGAGCTCCTTTCTATTTGTAGTAGCAATAATAAAAATGTTGTTCAATACTTTTATGCCATCAATCTGAAAGGCGAGCAAATTTTCAAGTATTGCCTAGTCAAGGAGAAACAATAAAAAGGAAAAATTGAAAAAAGAAACATGAGAGATATTGGCGATTGTTAGTAGTTGGTTTACAAGCCTATCATCCATATGGTGTTGTCCCATAGCTACCCTTCTTTTCTGCAAAAAAAAACCAAAAACATATTTAAGACATGATTTGCAATATAGACATGGAACCAAAAAACACCATTCTCACTGTCAATTAATGGTTATGATTACTATTCTCATTGTTGTGTCCTTTGCCCTTTATTTATGTCACAGACTTGTCACAAATCGCCTTTCTAAGCCACTCAAGCTTGGTTTAGAGAGTTCTTCCACCTATTGTCAATCAGTTTTTGGTTGGATGCCTCCAGTATTTTTAACATGGTATTAGAATTGAGTCTTTAGTGATCTATTGTGGGCCAAGTCTCCACCCAAGGTGTCTTTATTTGGTTTCTCTAATTTCCACTTGCAGTTGGACCGCATGCTCAGGAAGTGTTAAAATTTGGCCTCGCGTTCGAGAAATGTTGACTTGTCCCAAATCGCCTCTCTAAATCACCAAAGCTTGATTCACATTGTCAAGAGGGCCCCTTTATCTATTGCCAATTGATTTTGGGATGGATGCCTCCAATATTCCAGCAATTCACAAGAAGATTGTGCTTAATAAAGAATCTTAGGACTCGCACAAAACTCTTAAAATTCTTTTTTTAGCACCACAAGCGACTATGCCACATGTGCAAAAGTGTTCAGGACTTGTCCCACATCACTTCTCTAAGTCACTCGAGCATGGTTCGTATAGTCTATAGGGCCCTTTCACCTATTACCAATCAATTTTGGGTTAAATGCCTCCAATATTATAACAATAGACAACAAGATTGTGCTTAATAAAGAATCTTAGGGATTGCATGAAACTCTTTAATTCTTTTAGTCTAACATTGCTTCATGCTTTATTTTGTGAAGAATCTTTCCTACCACCTAGTATTAGGAAGGAAATTGAAGTTTTATACGTGGTTGTGTGGGTGATTTGATGCTGCGTGAGCTAGTAAAGGAGCTTTCTGGAAAGAATAACAGATTCTGAGATGACACTAGGTCATCAGATACTAGCTAGGTCAAAGCAAAGACAGCCTTGGGAAAAGAAAGAGTGAGGGAGTTGTTATAGAGGTCTAAAAGTGAAAAACCAAAACTATAAGCAAGAGATGAAGATGGTTAGATAATCTTTATGCATGGAGGTGGAGGCTATATTTATAGAAGGATTGAGGTATATCGGCCAACTCACCTTGTGGCTGGAATGGTGGTCACGCTTGCTCGGATATGAAGGAATCACTTGTCTTTATCATGTTCTAGAGTTGTCTTCATGTCGAGATCTCTCTAAGGTCGGTCAAGTGCAGATCCCTCCAACGAGAATAGGATGCAGCATCTTCACAAATCTTCAATTCCAATAAACCAAGTCCAAAATCCCTACAAGCTCACGCGAGAGTTGTGAGGTCACTTGGGTGGCACCAAACCCAAAGGTATCCCTAGGCTCTTCTATCGATCTAGACTGGCATGAGTGTATTAGGGTGATGGGAAAACAAGTGTAGAATCATATTAAGGGATGCACGTTTAGATGCAAACTTGGCTTGCCCAAGAGGGCCCAAGTGGATATGAGCGTGCCAATGTGAAGAGCCCTTAATCTTGGAAGGAAGGCCAAGTGCACCTACAAGGCTCCTTGAAGATAGCCTCCTTTAATTTTAATATGAGAGATGCCACATTGTGCGGTGTGCAGAGGTTTTGGGATAAAGGTATCATATGCTCAATACAACTGTCTTGGTGAAGTTATTAAGTACATGCAGATATGATGATCACCGAAGGTTAGTCAAATGCTTCCTATATGACAAGTTACCTTTTATGTGCAAAACAATTGAGCGCCTATTATTTAGGAACTACATTCTAAAAAAATGGTTTCTGGATGACCATTACCTTTGGGGTTGGATAAGATACACTGCCCCTCTTACCCGTTGTTTCTGAATTCAAGACTTTTAATCATGAGCAACCTTTTTCATATAGAATAGCATTTCTATGTTGACTGTTCACACCGATTAACGCATAGATTTTGTTTAAACCAATAAAAAAAATTAGAAATGGATAACAAGGTGAATTGCAAATAATAGGGCATAGAAAATAACGTCAAAATAATGCTAATTAATCTGGATTACGTACTCAATGGTGAATGCTTGTCTTAGAAAAGCATATTGATGTAGAAGCATGAAACTCGAGCCTCATATCTTATCTTATTCTCAATGTTTCAAAAGATGAGTTACAAACTTACATTACAGTTACTAAGTCTGGAGTACAGATCACTACTACCAAGCAGGAATAAAGAATAAAGAGACATCCGACAAGCAACAAATTGGCCAGGTTATGACATGGGAATGGAATGGAGGAATAGAACATATAATACATGTGAATACAAAGAAACCAAAATGATGTAAAACCTTAACAGGGAACAAAGACTTGAATTATGTAGAAAACTTATTGTGAAATTCACATATGTATAACACAAATTGCAGGTTGCACAACTAACAGCACTCAAAAGGAGCAAATGTTGTACATGTGCTCACCTTAGCAATCGAATCAATTTCATCAAATATGATGATACGTAGGTCACTTTTAGCTCCTGAAAGAAAAGATTAAAATAATCTCACTATGAGTATGAATGAACTGCACAATGAAGTGAATTTACAATGAAGATATGAACTATGCATCTTTACCATATCTGTTTTCATCCTCAATGGCTGCTTTAAAGAGTGACCTTATTTTCCTCTCCAATACACCTTGGAATGCATATAACACATCCGGTCCATTTATAATCTGCATTAATGGGAGAAGAAAAAGAAGTGTCAGAATAAGATAAACAAGTGAAGAGAGACGGGGAGAGAGAGAGAGAGAGATGGAGAAAGAGACCAGGGGCGCTTTTGCATTTAGTAATTTGCAAATGTTTCGTGCTATCAAGGTTTTTCCAGAACCTGGTGGACCATATAGTAGCATGCCTCTTACATGCTTCAAATTCAACCTAGCACAAGAAAGTCAATAGTTAATAACTAAAAGCTAAGAAGCACAAACACGGACACAAGACACACTGACACATTAATTTTTAAAAAATGCAGCATAACACTAATATCTAAAGTTTAAAAGAAGGATTAATAATATGTATCCTCTAAGTAATTGTTCAAACTTATAATATGTTTCATGTGTCTAATTGATAGACATGTATGCCCCCCCAAATGTCCAAAGCGTCTTTGAGCCTAAAAAAATAAATAAATAAATTATATGACACATTAGGACACTTTCTACAAGTATCCCTTCACAACTTTATATTGATTTCAATACATTTGCATTACAATTCTACCACAGCCTACTAACAATCAAGTTAACAATTGCTAATCATTCTTTTACAGGAGCTGGTGTGCACTTTTAGAAAGAGATATATTGTATGCACCTACCACAACATACGTAACACAACCATAACATTTCGTAACAAACACCAAAAAAATGTGTAACTTTTCTCACCAAAATGATTTGTAACATTTCTCACCAAAAATAGTCCATAATATTTACACCACACCGTTCATAACATAATCACAACATTCATAACATATCCACAATGGTTAGTAACTTTCATTTTATATTCGCTATTCCTAACTTTTACCACAAAGTGGTTCACCACAAAAATTCATAGCTTTTTTTAATGATAGAGAGTGTGCCTAGTAGCATTTTCCTTCTTTTATAGCAATACAATTTCTATACATTTCAAAACCTCATACAAACAAACAAACTTTTGGGAGGAACAACTAACCGATAATGCTAGTGAGTTTGAAAAAGTAATTTAAAAAATTGTCAAAAAAATGAAGTATGTGAACTAGTGACCACATCACACAAAGTGTGAATCTGCACCACATATTTATTTATTTATTCATTGTTTTGTACAATTAAAAAAAAAAAAAAGAAAAGAAAAAAGGTACTTATATAAGTCTCTTTTGATAGAAATTGATTCTCCCTAGCAAGGCTGGAAGCCTCTGTTTTAGGGCAAATAAATGAATATCAATTTGGATTATAATTTGAATGAATAGTTGAATTACCAAAGGAAATATTATACCTCTTTGCTACAGGGGGAGGAACCATCCGTGAGCCGAATGCCGACTGCAGTATTTGAGCAAATTGGGAAGTCATACCTCCAATACCAAGTGATATCAGTTCTTCTTCCAGTGATTCCATATTGAAGCCTTCCCTAAATATGCTTTTAAATGTTTCAGCTCCATGTATTAGGGTACCCTGTGATCAAACATGCCAACAACTTTTAAAATTCACAAATCACATTGATAGATACTAGATAGATACATATCACTGGTAAGAAAGCAGCTAATAATCACCATATTGGTTTGAGTTTTCAAATTTTATTATATTTTTAAAAAAAGGCCAACAATAGGCTCAACCAACACTCCCAAATAGGCAAAGATCAGCAAACTGTACACTTCTTCACCCAGCGATTAGGGCGCACTGTTGAAACTCAGATCGGACCGTTGGTGGGCCGACGAGGAAGACGGAACGGACGGAGCCCTACAGAGATGGGCCTTCATCATCCATTCCATCCTCAGATCCCCGCCATCAGATCCTTGCCGGCACCACCTCTCTCCTCCGCCGCATCCGCAGCAGACCCGAACTAGAAGAACCCACATCACATCACACGTGGCATGTCATGGATGAGGATTGAGACGGTGTGATATAGTATAGAAATAATATGATTTAAATAAGAAGCAGTGTGATTTAAAAAAATAAGGATAAATTAATTATAGGTGTTGGATTTAATTTTTATTAAATTTTATTGATAATAAGTTTTAATAAAAATATCGTTAAAAATAATTTGTTGTGATTATTTTTTATGTATGTCGTTAAAATTAATAATTAGTGATTTTTTTTTTTGTTACGATTTTTATAAATTGTCACTGAAAGTTAAAATTTAGTGACTTTTTGTGATTATTTTTTTAAACTGTCACTAAAATTTTTATTTAATAATATATATATTTTTTTTACAAAATTTTTAAAATTGTCATTGAAAATTAATAATTAGTGATTTTTTTAATAATATTTGATAAAGAAAAAAAAAGGCCATTAATTCTCACATAATCTATTAAACAATAAGTCCACTTATTAGGATTTACTTGTAAATCCCTTTTTAAATAAAATGATTGTGACACAAAAAAGATGATATGCTAAAATAGTACATGGCAAATAACACCTTAATCTTTTGGCTATTATAACAACGGGAAACACTGAGGGTGTTTGTTTGGGCTTTTTTGAGTCAATTTATAGCTTTTAACTTTAGAAAAAATTATTTTAGATTGTTCGGTTAAACTTATTTCAAACAACTTCTAATTCTAATAACTTATTTAACTCAAAAAAATTGATTCTGAGAAGCTACTCACCACTTGCTTCTGATTATCAATTTCTACTATGGACATATTAATTTACGATTATACTCTTAGATTTTTTTATTTTTATTTTTTAAAAAAATAAAAAAAGACTCGAATGGACTATAGATTATTATTTTATTTTTTTTATGAGAAATGTAAAAAGTAGTGAATAACAAAAAGTAAAAATTAATTGAAAAAGTTACTTCACATCTTATTTAACAAATACTACTCAGCAACTTAAATCTATAATCCAACAGATACACCAAACAAATTAATATTTTCTGATTAAAGTCATAATTTATAATCTGTTTTAACAACTACACCAAACGGGGCCACTATAGCCTATTTTGATAAGTGACTTTTTTCGATTTATTATTATTATTTTTTAAAATGTACCAAAAATAAATAAAAAAAGTAGATGTGACCTAAATAAGTCAATAAGTTAGTTAGTTATTTTTATTTTTACTTTATTTTTAAAGTTGTCAAAATATGCCTATGTATACATCTTTCAAATGATGTCTATCATATACATCTCATAATTAAATAAATAAATAGCATAATTTTATTCTTTACGAGTCATAATTATTAAAAAAAATATATCATAACTAAATACAACATGAGATATAATTAAAAAAATCATCAGTTATAATTAAAATAATGTCATAACTAAAGAATAAAATTAATCATAATTAAAGAAAAAAATTACATCACTAAAGGTGCATATAGTACAAAATTTTTAAGGATGAACATATTAAAAATTTCCTATTATACATAATTTGTTAAAAGGACAATTATATGTTGAAATCAATTTATTAGTCTATTTTTTGAAATCATCATATTTATTGAAATCACCAAATTTGTCATTCAATATTCTATAAATTTTTCTATCTCACCATCGCCGGTGATTTTTCTGACGATTTTTCTAATCAATTTTCCTATGAAATTTTTGATGTCTTTATTACCAAATAAAATTTTTATCTTGGATCAAATGTTTTATATTTTATTTAAATAAGACAAGTATATATGTTGATTATCATTGAAGAGATAAAAAAATATTATTTTCCAAATCGAAGTTTTTTGGTTCCAATTCACTGGCAGTGTTTGTTACAATTTTAAATATGAGATTATAATTTATTTTAATTTAAGAGTTTATCTCAGCCAGTTTAGTGTAGCTTTTGTTTATAATTTATTAGATAAAAATAGATTAAATAAAAAAAATGACTAGTCTGTTTAATGTAGCTTTTTCTTGTAGTTTATGGAGTAAAAATAGATTAAGAGGGTGTTTGGAATAGTTTGAATAAGTATAATTTTTGTTTTTTTATGAAAAAATATGTAAAAACATAGAAATGTGATGTGATCCAAAAAAAATAAATAAATAAGGTGCTAATATAGAGGATGCCAAATAGTGCCTAAATAAATTTAAAAAAAAAAAAAAAACTAATTATCTAAAAGGAGAGAGGGATATACTTTGAACTTATAATTTTTTATTATCAACTCTTAATTTTTAATAATCTACGCCAAATAGAGCACTGTTGTGTCAATACAATAGGAAATTTTCACTTTAGAATAGTGTAAATATGTGTAGATAATATAATAGAGAAATTAATGTGACAGACACATTGACCATGGATCTTCTAGAGTGTTTTTTTTTTAAAGTTTCTTAAAGTGGTGTATTGTGGTTGAGATTTAATGTTGAAAAATTGATGTGACTTGTCATTAAATCTCAACCACACAATGCACCACTCTAGGAAACTTTAAGAAAAAAAAACTCTAGAAGATCCTTACTAAGAGACAGGGAGACAAACACAAAAGTCCTACTCACAATAAATGAATGAATGAATGTGATTTATTTACCAGTGATTGTGGTGGGACTTCAACTATCACTTTCGTGCACGTTCGGATCATCCCCTGCTTTGTGCTCCTCAAAGATTCACTCCCCTCATTCTCACCGAGAGAAATTCCCACAACACTGCATGCATATGAGCTTCCTTTATATGCAAATACCACCTTCTGATATTCAGTAAAAACCTGCATAGTCCAAAAAGTGCTCAATTTTAGTAAAAACCAGTGACTCTAGATCAACTAATTACTAGTACTAAAAAAAAATTCCCTCAAAAAACACCTGATGATGGAATGTGTTTCGAAATTCTCTTCCCAGAGTAAAAGCCGTTATCTGCAGAAATATGAAATTTAATCAGTCCAATTACTTCAAAAGTTTCGCTGTTAAACTAGATTCATTTTCGATGTTGGTTATATATGGAATTGCATACAATTTGAGTTGGAGTTGAACTTTCCGGAAGTAATTCTACCATGATTCTCAATACATCCACATCAAACCCATTAGGAGGAGGAGCAAACCTATAAAAATAAAATCAAAACAACTGCAGAATTCATTATATATGTAGGCTATGGAGTAGAAACACAACACAACACTAGATTGAACTTACACTTGCAAAGGGATGGTGTCTCCCAATGAGACATCAAGAGATTTGCAATGCTCTTGATTTAGAGATATGTGGCCCTTTGCTACTTTCTCATCCTCTGTATTCTTTACTAGTTAAGGTATACACTAGCAACATTACCCAAAATTTAAAACAAAAATAGAGAAGAGCTAATAAAACAAAACCAAATCTCTGTCTGTCTTTTGGAATCTGAATTAATGCAAGAATTGAATACGTAACTGAGCAAAACTTCACTCTTTGGAGGATATTGGATGCTAAAAACATTCTTGCCATTGAAAAGAGCAAGATACAGCTTTTTCTTCTTCTGGATTGTAGTGAAAGGCCATGGCCATGGAGGTCCTCGTCGAAGGCTCACAGCAAATTGGCGAGTGTCGTCTGGACAACAGTAACATAAATTGGTGAAACACTGCTCCGAACTAGTATGCTCTACAACAACAAATGGAGCACTACTACTCGAAGCCATGGACGATGAAGATAATGGCCTCCAACCCTTTGCTCGGGTTACAACGAGAGAACTAATGGACGCGTATGATTTAACATAAGACAACAAATGGACACGTATCCTGTTCCCATAGGCTAATGGAACATAAAGTCGAGACAACTAAAAAGTGGAATATGTACATAAAAATGAAGTGCTAAAGGTGCCCGTTTTGACAAATCAAATGGGTTCAAAGTCCTTTTGCACTTCATCAGCAACTCTCTGCACCCCCCCAATATGTACATAACCGTTTGACAAATCAAATGGGTTCAAGTCCTTTTGCACTTCCATATGGTGCCGTTTGATCTTCTTCTTCTCCTTTTTTTTTTCTTCAAATCCTTCTCTCATGGTGCTGTTTGCTAGAGCAAGATATTTGCAATACAATAATATTTTTATTCATTAATCTATTAATATAAACACAAAAGAATGTTTATTTATATGGGTACACATAAATAAACTAATTTAAATTAAAACTTCTTAATTTAAGTTATATTTTTATAGTATGATATAACTAAAATAATTATTTTACATTATAAACGTCACAATATATTTTAAAATAATTTTAAGATAAATTACAAATAGACCTTTTGAGGTGTAAAATTCAATGTATAAAGAGAGAAATACAGGAAAAATGAATTATGTATTGATTGATGTGTTTCTGTATTGTATGTGATAAAGAGAATGAACTCTCTTTTTATAGAGAGAAATCTGAGGCATTGGATACCACAAACCCACTACCACCGAAAGCTATACAATTAATAAGTATATACTAAAGCTAAAGTTATTCAACTAACAATGATATACTAATTAACAATTATATACTAACAGACCAGTTTAAAAAGTACCAACTAAAATGGTGTCTTATAAATAATTCACATTATAATACATTAGAAGCAATAAACATAAAAACAGCCATATCTTCCATTGCAACCATCATAGGGAAATCCAAAAATAAGCTCTATGCATAATTACAGCTAGCTATATATATATATATATATTACTTCCCTATATACATGAATAAACACGAGCCTGATACCAAACTCCTGCAAATTCCTCCCACTATATATTTCACAAAACGAGGAAATTCTAGACTGACCTTCATTAAAGCAAAATTTAAACTCCCGGAGGGGCAAAAACAGATATTCTCATGACTCACTGGCAGCATGTGAAAGGTCTCGGCTTCAGCAAGCTGAAATCCTCCTCCGCTTGTAACACTTGAAAAGGCCATCGTTGTTCTCACATTCACTGTGGTCAGCACCTTCAACTGAACACTCTTCGCAGATCCCATTTTGGAAAGGTATGCATTCAAGTGTTTGTTGGTTTGTCTATGACCATGGAACAGAATTGAAAAAATAAAAAATAAAAATCTGACTGGATAAAAGTAAAATGTAAAGGAATAAAAATGATGCAATGCGAACAGAAAGGTAAAAGAAAATTGAAGTACCAAGAAACCCGGAGGTCCTGTGCCACTACCACCATCGCTACCATCAACTCCAGCTATACTGGCAAAACCACATAAATAAACCAACACTTTCTAATATACACAAATCAATATATGTATCTATAAATATATATGTAGGGTGTATTTGCAAAGCATGATTGTAATATTGGAAAAATTCTTCAATTCGGCCCTCAGAATATGGTTGCCTTTGTAGTCTTCATCACATTAACAATCAAAATCTCTCTTTGAAGCATGGATTTAAAGATTAGAAGAGGTATTGTCCAAAGAATTAACATGACATGATATGCATTAGAGTATGAACCATTTTTCTCCCAGATGAAGAATGTGGCCCATACATCGTAACTTTTTCAAGTAAATGAATAAACAGCTCATCTTTGTGATATGATATGTTTCATAAATTGGCAAATGAGGGTATGATGTCAATACACTACTCATCTTGTTTTTTGGTTTTTTTTTTTTTTTTGTTTTTTTTTTTTTTTTTGTGTAAAATTGTGATTGGGGTTGATCCCCCACAAGAATAAAAGAGTGTGTGTGGAAATTTGTTGGTGGTGTTGTTTTTGTTTGTTTTTGTTGTTTTTTTTTTTTTTTTTTTTTTTTTTTTTTTTTTTTTTTTTTTTTTTTTTTTTTTTTTTGTTGTGGGAAGAATAATAAGAATAAGAAAAAAAAATAATAATAATAAAAAGGGATTAATGGGAAAGCATGTGCTGGTGGGTGGAATAAAAAAAATGGGTGGAATAAAGAATCAGAAAGTGCATGTGGGGCGGTGGGTTGGAAAGTAAAAAAAAAAAAAAAAAGAGAGAGAGAAAGTGGGGGACAAAAGTGGATGTAAATAGTAAAAGAAAAAGAAAGGAAAAGAGAGGGTTTAAAATAGTAAAAGGGTTGCCATCAGAAAAAGGGAGTGGGCGATATTATATTTGCCAAGAAAGGAATCCTCCAGCGGAGGAACGGCTGATGAGTTGACCGCTCTGCTTCATCTTGTTCAAAAGGTGAGAGAGGAGAGTCATGTGAGCCGGAGGAAGCTCGCCGTAGGTGTCTGCGATGTGCTTCGAGATTGCTGACTTGTTCGAGCCGTTCTTGTCATCCAGAGCCGTGATCGCAGCCAAAAATCACCTCTGTCCTGCAACCCCGTTAATTTGATTACAGTAGTTTGAGATTTGATTGGTGATGAGGAAGCTATCCAACCGTGATGGCTCAGGAATTGGCTTAAAGATGGGGTTTGAAGGATCCTCCTCTGGTAACAGCTCTTCTCCAGCAGCTTTACGTGCCATGTTCTCTGTCCTTCTCTTCTGAAGCCATGCTTGCTGCTGCGATTGTTGACGTGACAGGTTCCGATAGTAGAATTGGAACTTTTGCTGTTCCATTGACAAGTCATCCATGCATTCAATTAAAAATTCGACATTCCTCTCCATAGATGGATTGGTTGATAATTGTAACCGATCAAAATCGCACTAGCAAAGCAAAGAAAGATGGACTTACTAATTACTACAAAGTTAGACATCAATGATAAGTTTCCACAAACAGATAAAGAGACTACCTGGGTGACAGGTGAATCAGCCTCCAGCTCTGTCATAAAGGCACTGATGAGAGCAGAGTTCGAAACCTTGATAGGGATCTCCTCAAAGATATCCACCCAGGATAGGTTTTTCTCTCTCAACTTCTCTCCCGTAAAATTGTTATTACGATAAAGTTCCATGAAAGAATCTGACAGCTTCAAGGCCTTGAGAGCGAAGACACCTGGGGAGGCCGGAGGCGCGTGCGTAGCCCGCGGCGGCGAAGATGCCGCCTTGCGCGTGGCAGGGGAGGACGTTGGAGTCCGGAGCCGATGATTTGGTTCGGGCCGGGCTAGTTGGGTGTGAAGGAGCAACAGTAGCAGGTGGAGGAGGATCCAGGAGGTGGAAGCGAGTGAACCCACGTAACCCGCCTGGTCGAGAGCGAGTTCGGTGACTCGACTCATTGTTGAAATAACGAGGTCGCATCGAAACCCACATGTGAAGAGGTTGTCGCATGGATCGAGAGTGAAGTCCCATGAGCTCAGACACGAACCGGGTCTGACTGAGTTAGGATCGAGTCCGTTCTTGAACTCTCTCAATGCCTCTGTGTCTTGCCAAAAAATGATGGAATTGGCTTCGAAGAAGGAGTCTTTCGACATGGGTTGCTCAGAATAAAGGTGAATTGAGTGGATGAAGAGAAGAACAGTGTGTTAGAGAGAGAAGAGAGAATGGCGTCTATGTGTGGCTGTGTTGGGTTTGTCCGGCGGGCGGCCAAGGCGAGATTGCCGCCCGCCGGTGGAACGAAAATATTATGTTCTTAACCTAGCTCTGATACCATGTAAAATTCAATGTATAAAGAGAGAAATACAGGGAAAATGAATTATGTATTGATTGATGTGTTTCTGTATTACAAATGAGGGGTTCCTTATATAGATGTAGGTGTAGGGAGTAGGTGGTGGTAGGTGAGTGTAGTAGGTGAGTGTAGTAGGTGAGTGTGTGGTAGGTGATGGTAAGTGTGTGGTAGGTGATGGTAAATTATACAATGTACATTAACACAGAGAATTAAATAGAAATTGGAAGAAATAAATATGAACACAAGTGAGAAAGAAGAATGGAAGTTTGAATTGAAGAACATACATTGGCCTAATTTGAACCCAAAAGAAGTTCCTCTGTCACGAGTTGAATCGAAATACGCCCTGTCCTGAACACAAACACTGTAATGGACTGAAACAAAAAATACCCAATACAATAAAGGGGCCATTTGTTATATGATTAAAAACCGCAAGGCATGGGATGTAATTTTTTTAAGTGAGGGAAAAATTAACATTTTTAATAAATCTTAGGAAAAATTTATCCGTAATTTTATATGTATTTATATATAGAAATACATATAAATAATTTAATTAATATTGGAACACATATTTATTCAAGCTGAGGATATGCCTATGATCTTTTCGCAAAATATTAAAAGAGTGTTTGTGTATTTTTGCTAAATGACATGAATGTTTATGATTTATCTAAAATGTCACAGAGTGTTTGTAATATATTGAAATGTTAAAAGATGTCCATATATTTTCATCAACGTTAACTTGAGTTTGTGTATTCTTTTTATTCTGGTTTAGTTGATTGACTAAAAAATAATAAATAAACATATTACATTACTTCAATTGAAAAAGAAAAATATCCTTCCTATTAAGTTTGAAATTTTATTTTACATATATTTTATTCAATTGAATGAGATTACATACAAAAAAAATTAAACCAATCATAACATCCATAAATTAAAATAACCTTAAAAAAAATTTGTTTTGCTAAATGCAAAATCAAAGAGAATTTTTTTAAAAAAAAATAAGGGAAAAGAAAAGAAAAAAACAGAGGGCAAACACAACTTTGTTACACAACTGAACTATAAAAAAAAAAAAAATTACATCCCAACGCTTTGCAGTTTTTAATCATATAACAAATGATCCCTTTTGTATTTGTAATTTTTAATCATAAACAAATGGTCCCTAAAATTATTTTAAAATATATTGTGACATTTATAATGTAAAATAATAATTTTAGTTATATCATACTACAAAAATATAACTTCAATTAATAAGTTTTAATTTAAATTAATTTATTTATGTGTACCCATATATACAAACATTCTTTTGTGTTTATATTAATAGATTAATAAATAAAAATATTATATTATTGCAAGTATCTTGCTCCAGCAAACAGCACCATGAGAGAAGGATTTGAAAAAAAAACAAAAAACAAAAAAGAAAGAAGATAAAATGGCACCTTATGGGCCACAGCAAGGAACAGCAGCGGGAGTCACGCAGCAGTTCCCGCATAGGGAATCTTTTCATTCCATCAGCAACTCTCTGCTTCACTTCGTAATTATATTAAATATGTTTAATATAATTTGACTACAAATTGGTGCGCATATGATTGATAGATTTAATTATTTTTCTAAAAAACGAGGATGCAGTTTTTCTTCAACTTCAACTTCAACTTCAACTTCAACTTCAACTTCAACTTCAACTTCAACTTCAACTTCAACTTCAACTTCAACTTCAACTTCAACTTCAACTTCAACTTCAACTTCAACTTCAACTTCAACTTCAACTTCAACTTCAACTTCAACTTCAACTTCAACTTCAACTTCAACTTCAACTTCAACTTCAACTTCAACTTCAACTTCAACTTCAACTTCAACTTCAACTTCAACTTCAACTTCAACTTCAACTTCAACTTCAACTTCAACTTCAACTTCAACTTCAACTTCAACTTCAACTTCAACTTCAACTTCAACTTCAACTTCAACTTCAACTTCAACTTCAACTTCAACTTCAACTTCAACTTCAACTTCAACTTCAACTTCAACTTCAACTTCAACTTCAACTTCAACTTCAACTTCAACTTCAACTTCAACTTCAACTTCAACTTCAACTTCAACTTCAACTTCAACTTCAACTTCAACTTCAACTTCAACTTCAACTTCAACTTCAACTTCAACTTCAACTTCAACTTCAACTTCAACTTCAACTTCAACTTCAACTTCAACTTCAACTTCAACTTCAACTTCAACTTCAACTTCAACTTCAACTTCAACTTCAACTTCAACTTCAACTTCAACTTCAACTTCAACTTCAACTTCAACTTCAACTTCAACTTCAACTTCAACTTCAACTTCAACTTCAACTTCAACTTCAACTTCAACTTCAACTTCAACTTCAACTTCAACTTCAACTTCAACTTCAACTTCAACTTCAACTTCAACTTCGTTCAGGTATCTGTTCACATTCTCAAAACCCCATTTCATTTCGTTCTTTCTTTCTTGAGAATTTTCAATCTATTTCTATGAATCAATGTAATTCAGGTTTATTTTATTGGTTTGTATTTGAATAAGACACATTTGAGCTGAGAATTTAAATTTCTCAGGTGGTTGGAATAGATTCAGAACAAATTAAGGGACATGTACTATTTCACTAGAATTTACCTTGAAAAATGCAAATTTTTTTTTACAATAATGATTAAAACCTCAAAAAAACACAACTTTCACCATAAGTTGAAATGGTGGGATCTCTAAAAATAGAGGTTGAACTCATTTTTATTTTTATTTTTATGGGAGGTGAAGGTGAAATGACAAATGTAGCAGGGTTTAAGGTTTGAGAATTATAAGTTGAAAAGATTATTTTATTCTCAATTTTTGTATAATTAAATTCTAGTCATATAAAAAATTATTTTAAAACAACTCTAGGAGAAATCTCGACTCTTAATTATTATCTTTCATGTGTTTTTCAATCTTTGAAATTTCATATAATCCATACTACATATTAATATTTTGGATAAATTTCTAGACATTTTCTGCTTTTCTATTTAAAAAGTGTGAAAGGGTGTTAAACTTTGCCATGGTGTATTCTACAACCAACCACCAATTAAACCACAGTGATTAACAACAACAGGGATATTCACATCCTAGCTAGCAAGCAATTGTTTTATCTCAATACAATTCAAAGACCTTTTTGATTATTTTCTTTGATGCCTAAGTAACTATCTTGAGAGAGGACAAAATAGGTGTGAATAATAATGTAAATAGGCAAAGGAGACCAAGCAGCTGGCTAACAACTACCAAGAGTGGGTAGATTTTGGTGATTGATATTGTTGGACCAAACAGCTAGCCCCCAAAATTGGAATTTTCATTTAGCATTTTGTGACAAATATAAAATAAATAGCATGTTATAATTGCCTTATTCAGGAAGTTGACTATTTAGTTGATTATTTGAGTTTTTGACTATTTTAACCTGGCTAAAATAATTATGTTTGAGAAGTTGGTTGACTTTTTTTTATAATTGATTTGATGGTTGCGAGTGAAAAAATAAAATGATTATGAGTTGAATGTGACATTTTATTTTATTAACTGTTTTAATCTATTTTGTCTTTTAATGGATTATTTTAGTCCAACCTTCTTCCCAAATACTCCCATTAAAAAAGAATTATCAAATTATAGCATTTGGCACTGTAATAAGACAAAATTTGACTTTAATGAAAAGTAATGAAAAATACATTGTGAATAAAATCATCATTTACCAATTGTAAGCAAATGATCATTCCATAGGAGAGCTTACAGAATTGAGCATAATTCTAAATGATCTTTTAATTCTATATTGCAAGTTATATTGTTAAATTGTGATTTTGTGTATTTGTGATTTGTTTATTTTAGAAAATAGAGAAAAACGTTAGAAATATATAAATAAAAAAATTAGGATTTTAGTTTTTATTTTTTTTTTATAACAATTATTGATATGTAATATGACAAAGTGATCAAATTATTGAGGAATAGGATGGAGTACATCATTTTGCATTACTTTTGTTGTTTTTATGGCAAATGTCTATTAATTGATCTTCTACTGTCAAGGTAGTGCTCAAAACATATCTTAAAGTCAAGGTAGTGCTCTTTTTGGTCATATATGTATTCTCCTCGTGAAGACAACAAGGACCAAAGTTTAATAATTAAAAACAGTAGCAATTTCAATTACAAATAGTGTTAAAATTAGAGAACCAAGTGCTTGCAGACAAGGCCCTAGTATGATAGAATAACATGGTGCTTGCACTATGTTTTGAACTAAGTGTTGTTTTTTTTAGAACTAAAGTGTCTTATTCATGTCAAAACTTGTCGTATGTTTTAGAACTAAGTGTCTTACTCAAAAGTTTTTTAAACTTAAGGAGTTTAAATGAATATGATCTTCATATTCCATCTCAAATCAATTCATTTTAGATCCTTAAAATTTAATGGATAGCTATATTCATTGCTATGGAATGGAAGTGTACTACTTGTTTTGAGAGATGAGGGTGTAATACGTAGGTATTATATTTAGAGTTACTTTGATGAGATATTTTTGTGGATGTGTACAGATGATGGATAAGAGTTTGATTGATTTGCCAAATAGGATGTTGAGCGAATACATTAATGGGATTGATGAATTCCTTGTGTTTGCCTACACCAATAGGGTTGAAGGTTCGATGATCAGTTGTCCGTGTAGGAAGTGTGAGAATCGATACCATCTTGTACGAGATGGTGTACGGGAGCATCTGATTTTGAATGGTTTTTTTAAAAAAATACAAACATTGGATTAATCATGGGGAATCTTACGTATCTCTGCATGGTAATCGAGATAATGAAACATTAGCTAATTTAGACATTGGAGATGATATGATTGGAATGATACAAGGGGCTATGGGAAATCCACATGCCGGTATAAGTGTTGAGGGTAATGAACCACA